AATTATGTCGAATCCCAGCCATAAAAAATGAATCATATGCATTACATGCACGCAATTAGATAAGAATTATTTCTAAACCATACCAACTAATTAGTCATCCACGCGAAGACCGACATGGAGAGATAAATGTCGATGTTAAGAGATGATAAGAGGTGGTTGAATGATTTAGGTCCTGTGATACGTGCCGTATGTTCTAACAAGCAGTTAACACTCAATATTCCTTCTGCTATAAGAGCGTTAACGAACTAATAATTATCACGGGAAAGATTTATTTTCATTGTGGTCGGGACTGGATGTCTAAATATTACTTGGACGAGCTTCAAACGGTTACCACAGAATTTGAAGGAACCCAAAATGAAATGCAAAGAATTTGTAATCAGGATGCCAGTTCTTCGACGTCTGTGAGAGACGGAAGACGACACCTTGCCCGCCCTCGGTGAAAGAAGGAGCTTCAGACTGGGCCGTTGGTAAACACAATTTAAAACTAAGACGGTGTCCTTCACATTTCAAGACAAACAAATCAAAACTACATATCATATACATGAGTGTTCAGTATTAACCGTGTTGTAATCAGAAAATGGTCTGATCGCAAATCTGTGACGATAAACGTAGCTCCAGATATCGCTATATACCGTTGATGGAATGACGTAGCGTTGGAAAGGGGAGGGGGGGGGAGTCTTTCTCTCTTGCTGTCTGCTCCAGTCGCCAGACTGCGGCCGTTAGTGAGCTCGGATGGATCTGTTTCTGTGTTCAAAGCGTTCAACGTAGCAACAAGGCTATTTATTCTGGGTTGGAAAGTAGTTTACGTGTCGGATTTGCAAGACTAAAACGAAGTATTGCTGTGATTGCAAAAGTCTTTTAAAGAACGAAAATATGTGTGTTACAGTAACACAAGATCAAAGTACGTGGTTTCTGTGACGAAAAAGACTTCGGGAAGGAAATACAGCCCGGTGTTTCATTTTTTCTTAAAAGAAGTTGACAGTTGACGCAGATTTTTAAATAGTGTTGCTCTGAAAGTGTTCTTGGGTTGTGAGTTAGTAGTGAATTAACACGACAAAGAAACTATGAAGTGCGGGATGATGTCATTGGCCTTGGAAATCACGTATTCCCTTCATTCCGCACCAAGCAGCTGTAACTGACTCCAAAACATTTTCGAGTGACGACGATGAATGTATCGCGTCCTGGAGATTTCTGGTAGTTCTCGAAGAATTTCCCAAGTACTTCTGATTGCGCTCCAAACCCCAATTCAAGGTAAGTAAGTGGCTTTCTCAGAGGTTAGCAACTTCGACTTCGAATATCGACGTAAGAAAGATGAATTGTCTTAGGAATCTAATTTATGTCAAGCGACGATGTTAAAATCAACTGTAGTTATTGCACAGTGAGAAGTTTTTATACGAAAAAGTGGTCAAAATATTTTTAACCTAGGAAATATAATTTACATACGAAGATTTGAGTTTCTCACGGCGTCAAACATGAAAATGGCATCACCCTGACGATGGAGGCAGCAAGTAAATTTAAATGTAATATATGTGCAGCTCCTTTTGAATAATGTGGATATGTTTTACTGTAATTAACGCCTGCAACCGCCATGTTCTACAAAAAAAAAATTACCTGGAGAAGACTTGCATAATTTTTTGAAAATACGCTATTTGCCACACAATATCAGGAGCCCAATGGTAATGGCTCACACCTCAAAAGTTCGTGCGTCCGCCATGTTTTTATAACCGTTTGCATATAATTAAATCCACGAGATATTAGTGGTCTCTAGCGGTACAATACACGAACCAGCCCTTCTCGATTTAGACGGATGGACAGAGTTCCGTGCATGTCGTGTAAAACTGGCTGCGTTACTGCTGTAATCAGGGGAGTCTTGGGGGTCCATTGCTCAGGAATGAGGTCTCTCGCTGTACATACAGGAAGTCATGTTCTTCGTATTACCACCATACGACACGTGATCCCAGAGGTCAGAATGGTACCTCGCCACAACAGAACATGTTTTTAATTTATTACTAGGAACTAATTGTAAAAACTTCTGCATGTGAAATACGCTGTTATGCCTGGAGAAACACTCGGACATGCATAGAAAATCTACGTTCAGACGACTCTACTGTATCAATTGGAACAGATTTATGACGACGCTGAATCACAACTGAGGTTATTTGGTACCGAACGAGATAGGGATGTAAGACAGAACGCTGTCGTTAGATATTTTAATCTTTTTAGAAGAAAATCACGAAAATGTAAGCAACTTAACCCGGCCCGGGGCAGGGATCAGTTTGTCACACGCAGTGACTTTACCGACGCACAAGGCACTCTCTCGCGTGGAGAACAATGGGCCGGCTGCCATGTTGTCTGAACCACCCACGAATGGACCATAAAGGCTCGACGGATAAGGTTGCCGACAGGATCCAGCCATTCTCAGCGTTTTCCACGTGACGTCAAACTAAAATACGTCTCAACAGGCCGATCACACGGTGTAGCATATCGCGTATTACGCACTTTGTGTGAACATGACTACCGTCTTCTGGTATGTCGCGCCGCGCGAAGGTGACCGATGTTTCGGAGGCTTTCACTGCCTCCATCATCAGGGCGATCACTACATTCTTGTATCCTAGTTCACAAAATTTGTTCTGAGATTTGAGATTTTCACGGCTACGAGTAGTAAGATGACGAGATTCTCTCTCATTCGCACTGGTTAGGATAAATAATCGTATGACACCCCCCCAACACCATTGGTCTTGCCTACGTCTCCCGTCTCATAAACTAACCAACATATTTCCTAGTTTTTTAACCGAGCAAAAACGCCAAAAGTTCATATTCAGAGGCAGATTAACCCAGCCCACCCCATCACACGTTTCTCTTGTGATCCACCACTGTTTAAAACCTCTCAGGTGTCCCCATTTTCATTCTGAGTCCGTTTCTCTCATCCGTGCTACTTTCCTTTCCCATCTCATTATCCATTATTCGATCACTAATAATATATGGCGACGAGTTCCCTAGAAATCATAAATTTTCCCATAACATAATTTCCCCGGTGTCTGTCTGTTTCTCACCGCGAGGATCACGTATTTTCTCACACCCTGTTCTAAAACGCGGTCTGCGTGTATCGGCTAGAGCTTATTATCATAAAATCATTATTAACTGGTACGTCATTATCGTCTGATTTCCAACTTTCATTGGTGAAAAGAAATTGCTTTGTTAGCAACATTTCAGGCTGTCATTTGTAGGCGAAGTTCACGTGTGGTGAAAGCACCAACCACGCTTATGTAATAAATAGTGTTCGTATGTCAAGCGTACGGAACAAATGGCCGGTTGAGGCTCGACGCTGATGGGTGGCGTTTGAAACAATACAATTTCATACGAGAACCTCGCCCTCTGTGCCACTGTCAGTCGACGGAATCTCTTCGTCCTGAGTACAACCACGACTTAACTTCCGGCACACCGTGTTTTGACTGACTCTTAACACATTTCCAGAGATTTGGAATCAATTCTGAATCCGAACTTCGCATAAATAATATTTACAAATTCAGTCCGTACCGCGAAGAAAACACGACACTTCACCATTACGTAGATCAACTGGTTAACGCTGTTTAAGGAATTAATCGCTGTTTACAGTGAGAATCATAGTTCGTCTAAATTACATTTAAGAATTCAGTCCGTACCGCGAAGAAAACACGACACTTCACCATTACGTAGATCAACTGGTTAACGCTGTTTAAGGAAATAATCGCTGTTTACAGTGAGAGAATCCCACGAAATTAATAAATGCAAAATGCAGAGTTAATTACTGTTAAGGCAGGTGGTACATATAGTTACCACCCGGCTTTAGACGGTTAAAGAATGAATCCTTACCAGGGTAACCACTAGCCTTTTTCGGAGTACAATCTGGTTTACTTCTCTGGAATGGTGGGAGCTGATAGTGGTTAAGTTTGGCAAGAAATCCTTCGCCTGTCATGTCTTTTCAGTTAGCGCCCGGACGATGTGTTCCGGTTGTTTCGCCACAGTCGAGTGAGCGTTAAAGGATACATGAGGTTTGAACACACGACCGTCCGAAGGTTTCGCACCGTCGGGTAGCCGATACCGTTATGGAGATGAATATCCGAAGCAACGGTGATTCGGCCAGGAACAGACGGTGGCCTGGTTGCCAGGATACCGTCTCACCTTTTATTCTGTTTTCAATTGGGTTAGTTCTGAACGGTTCTCGCATTAAGGCAATTGAGTGTGAAAACGAGGTTCTGTGGGCAACAAATATTTCTATTTATGAAGCAGGGAGAAAAATTAGGGCATAAATATTACTTGAGGAGGAGCGATCAGTTTTCAAGGTTGTGAGATTGGCGGGAAATGTAGAATGCAAGATCAGTGTTAGAATTTTGGTCGGAAACCCTGGGAGGCCTCGCCGGGTAGTTTGGTGAGAAATCAGCTGTTTATTCGGGTTAAATCCAAAAATTCTTCAGAGTCCAACATTTCTTGTCTATCTCATTGACAATACAGGTAGGACTCGATTTACGCCGGCGTAAAATTAAGCGGCGTAAACCGAGTCCTACCTGTAATTACAACTCTATGGCTCCAGACTCGCTGGGATAAATGCGGCCGTATCGTCAAGCTGACCGGTGATCTCCCAGTTGCCAAGAATTGAGGTTACGTGGAGCCTTCTCCCCACGCCTCAATACTCTGTTTCATGTTCGTTGTTCGCAGATTGGTGACGATAAACTTGGGGTCTCGTAACTCGTATCAGCAGCGTCGGGTTCTTGTGTACAGAAGGAGACCGCATTCCTGACTTATCTCTGACGTGAGTCACACAGTACACTGCTAACAATGAGATGGGAGCAGCCCGTGTGGGATAATTTCTGCTGTGCCTAGGGCAGAACGCAACGCATCAAACGGAAATGTAACAAAAAAATAATTAAATAAGGAAAATGGCTGTCCTCTGCGATGTTTATCGACGTTTCAGACATTCTTGCTGCTTGCATCATCAGGCGATGAGATGTCGGTAAACTAATACACGGCCCAATAACCCCGAAGACATCTTCAAATTAAAAATCCCCAACAGATCTATCAGATTTCATGGAGATCAGTAGATCGATCCCAGAGATCCAACTGTGGACACACAGAGACGGCCAACAGGCGCAGTGGTTTAAATGTTTAGTTGGGAACGCGCGTCTGAAATCTTCGATGTCCATTCGGCAGTCTTCCAGCAGTTTTACGTAAGCCGGACATCCTTGATGCACCGACGTTCTATATCGGGCAGATGTCCGTACGCTCTCAGCAAAGGGCGTGGACTACGACCCTACTGACACAAATGTCAACGACGTCCTTCTTAAGGAAAAAGAGGTTTATTTCTAGTGCAAGTGGTGATAATGAGCTCTCTCTAAAATTTCCTCCGGCAAATATCACAGATGCTTACGCACGAGGAGGAAATTCTTGGTAAACGAATCTCCTGCTTATGTACGCACGCATAAAAGGAGTTCTGGGAAGACACGGAGTGAGGGAGAAGTCAAAATGGGGAGTCTGTGATTTTTTTTTTAATATTTCACGGCGGTGAGTCTGAAGATGGCTGTCTTCTGGGTTGTAGAAGTTTACCGACGTTTCAGAGGTCCTTGTTGTCTCCATCATCGCCCTGATGATCGAGGCGTAACAACCCAGAAGATTATGAAGGCTATGAATGTTCTCAGGTAGTACCCGTTCGTCTTAAAGGTGAGTTTAATAGACGGCAAGGCATTCGGAAGTGGAGTGGAGTGCATTTGATCGGAATTCTGAATTTTGGTATTACCTTTTAATGGCGGAATTAGGCGGAATTTTGATGTTAACATCCCGTAGACCGCTCTGGACCCGAAGTTCATTTGAATAATATCTCCGTTCTTATCTCAAGGAAAACACGTCACTTGCCCGACACTGTAAACGTAATCAGTAAGTTGCTGATTTCTAAATCACGTGGTACATATTTTAACATTTTTGCAGCAGAAATTCCGTACGACCTCCAACAGGCATGAAGAATGGTTACGTTCATAAACACGATTTTAGAAGCATCCTGAACAACCACGTTGAAGGAAACAGGGACCAGAGTTCAGAACTTGGCTTCAGCGCGCAAAAAAAAAAAAAGTTGTAATTACCGGGTGATCCGAAAGTTTCAACACGATCCATGCATATCCGCGACAGTGGCCGATTTTGTCGTTTAAGCACACTGCCCTTAAGCCCTATTTGCTCGTAAGACGTCACGAACATCGCCGGATTAAAAGAATGAGCGACGGCGA